TTTTAACCCCATTTTCTCCCACTTTAACCCCGTTTTTTTCTGGTTTTTTTCTGTTTTTTTTTAAATCCCCATTTTAGCTATTTTAACCCCATTTTTAGCTATTTTAACCCTATTTTTTCCCGTTTTTTCCCGTTTTTGCCCGTTTTCACCCCATTTTTGACCCACCCTTGGTGATGGCCGCCGTCAGGGTGGTCTTGGCGTGGTCCCAGTTTAACCCCAGTTAAATCCCAGTTTAACCCCAGTTAAATCCCAGTTTAACCCCATTTTTAGCTATTTTAACCCCATTTTTAGCTAATTTAACCCCATTTTTTCCCATTTTAACGCCGTTTTTTCCCGTTTTTTCCCGTTTTTGCCCGTTTTCACCCCGTTTTTGACCCACCCTTGGTGATGGCCGCCGTCAGCGTGGTCTTGCCGTGGTCCCAGTTTAACCCCAGTTAAATCCCAGTTTAACCCCAGTTAAATCCCAGTTAAATCCCATTTTAACCCCATTTTTAGCTATTTTAACCCCGTTTTTTCCCGTTTTTGCCCGTTTTCGCCTGTTTTCACCCCATTTTTGACCCACCCTTGGTGATGGCCGCCGTCAGCGTGGTCTTGCCGTGGTCCCAGTTTAACCCCAGTTAAATCCCAGTTTAACCCCAGTTAAATCCCAGTTAAATCCCATTTTAACCCCATTTTTAGCTATTTTAACCCCGTTTTTTCCCGTTTTTGCCCGTTTTCGCCTGTTTTCACCCCATTTTTGACCCACCCTTGGTGATGGCCGCCGTCAGCGTGGTCTTGCCGTGGTCCCAGTTTAACCCCAGTTAAATCCCAGTTTAACCCCAGTTAAATCCCATTTTAACCCCATTTTTAGCTATTTTAACCCCGTTTTTTCCCATTTTAACCCCGTTTTTTCCCGTTTTTTCCCGTTTTCACCCCATTTTTGACCCACCCTTGGTGATGGCCGCCGTCAGCGTGGTCTTGCCGTGGTCCACGTGCCCGATGGTGCCGACGTTCACGTGGGGTTTGTCCCTCACGAAGGCGGCCTTGGCCTTGGGGGGGGCCTGGGAGGGAAGGGGTTAAACCCCCAAAAAACCCCAAAATGAACCCAAAAAAATCCCCCCGAAGAAACCCCTGAAATCCCGACAAAATCCCCCAAAATAAACCCGCAAAAAACCCAAAACACTCCAAAAAAACCCTCAATAGAAACCCCAAAAATACCTAAAAATGAACACCCAAAAAAACCCCCAAAAATCCCCCAAAATAAACCCAAAAAAGCCCCCAAAATAAATCCCCAAAAAAACCTCAAAATAAACCCCAAAATTCCCCCAAATAAACCCCTGAAGTCACCCCCAAAAAAACCGCAAAATAAGTTCCAAAATCCCGAAAAATAAACCCCAAAATAAAACCACAAAACCCCAAATTAAGCCCCAAAAATCCCCCAAAAAACCCTGAAAAAAACCCAAAATAAATCCCAAAAAAACTCAAAATAAATCCCCCAAAAAACTTCCAAATCCCCCAAAAAAAAACCCTGAAGTCACCCCCAAAAAAACCCCAAAGTAAGTTCCAAAATCCCCCAAAAAAAAACAACCCCAAAATCCCCCAAAATAAACCCAAAAAACCCCAAA